GGGCTCGCCGGCGGCGCGGCATGGCCTCCTGCCCGGCCCGCGGTGGCGTCCGTCCGTGTCTCGTCTCGCTGTAGTCGGTCGGTTGAGCCTCCCGCTGTCGCTCGCGCTGGTCGCGCCTCGTCCCGCCCGTCCCGTCCCGTCTTCAGTCCTAAGCGAGCCGCCTTTGCTCACGCGCCGCCAGAGCCGCCCGCCAAAGCCCGCGCCCGCCGCCATCCCGGCCGCCCTGCACCTCGCGCTCTCGTGGCCGCCCTCCCCTCCACGGTCGTCGTCCTGAGGACGTCCTCGCCGGGACCCCGCATACGCTGTGGCACGCAGCACTGTGATGTGTCATGGCTAGCGCCGTTCCCCGGACCGCCCAGGAGGGTCGCCAACGCTCCCGCCCCCGCCGTCAGCTCAGCTGACAGTTCGCCACAGTCCAGCCGGGCCGGCCCCGACCCGCCCCGCCGCCAGTCCGTACTCGCGCTCAACTGACCGAGTCTGGTCCCAACGGCACCGCCATGATCGACAGCGAGTTCCAGCCCCCGCCACCCAAACTGGTGAGTCCAAAGTGACTGTGAGGTGATTTCAGTCAGGACAAGGGAAAGTCGAGCAATCGGGCAGGACGTGTCTAGTGCCCGGGCGATCGGGGTACACTGCCCAGAATGCGAGAGGAGGAAGAGGGATTAGGGGTGGGAAGAATTTCCTCCGACGTGCCAGCAATAGAAAACACAAATAAATAACTCCCCCAAAAATTCGCGAAGTAACGCATTTGTTTTCAAAGACCGGTTCAGAAAAGTGTCAAAAGTGTATTGATTTTATAAAGTCTGAATTTCTATTTCCGATTTTCCTTCAAAACCTAGGCTATTGATTCTGTACTCGTCAATGACATTGTTTAAACATTAATCCGACTTCACGTCAGATTACTTTGGTAACACAGGTTAGGAATTGGTGCGAGCAAAATGTGATTAAAAATCACAATGCCAAGAACGGCGTGTAGCAATTTGAATTGGGGTAAAGGACTGAACGATAATTGTCGCAAATTGCAGTTTTTGAGCTCGGGCAGTGTAAGTTTGGCTGCCTGTCTACCCCGGGGGCCCCACGGCTAATCGACTGAAACCGGCCGCCGTGGTTGAAGCCCAGGTCGTGACGCCTGCTAGACACAGCTGGCCCGAACGCAGAAAAAACAGAACCAGAATGAGAATGGGAAGGGAGCTCTCAAAGCGTAGTACAATGCCTGTGTGCGAAGCCCGTTCGCGCATTTGTGCGTGCGTGCCAGTGTTAGTTGGGCAACGATCTACCGGTAAGCGAATCTAGATCGGGGAACGGTTTGGGAACGTGTCATGCAATGGGTGGCGCGTTCAGGAGAGGAACCGGTAGTAACGAGATTTCAGAAAGCCGGTGAAAACGAATTACACTGGAAACGCAAGTGTGTGAATATCCATTCGTATAAGTGCATACACTTAGAGAGGTAAAGATGTGAATTTTCCCCCAGAAAATTCATACGTTTGCCCCCCTTAGTGTATGAATGGATATTCACACACCTACAAGTGTGCGACATTCACATACTTTTGTTTCCATTGTATGTTGAGCACCCCGTAAGCACGTAGTGGAAGGGGAGCCGAAGTCGTAGCGGGCGCCTGGAGGGTAGGCAACTCGGTCGCTCCGGTGTCCTGAAGGTGGGAGATTGCCTAACTACCGGCGTCCACGCGCCCACGTGCCGAACGCGCCGCGGCCGTTGCGATACGTCTGTAAATATTTTGCGTAAATTTGACGCTAGATTGCGACACGGTGACACGTTATTTTGCCTCGAGGTTTATAACGATTATCTCAGCCATATGACCCCAAATGTCGATCGGATTGGACCCACTTTTCGTGGATCGGACAGACGCTGTTGAGCCATATCGCTTGAAACGACCATGCTAAAGATACGTGTCGCACGCGCGGCGTGTTCCATTCTTTTAAAAAGTTTTTTTCTCTTTCTTTTACGCCTATCCGTAACCATGCGTCCCCACCGGTTGACTTTTTATTTTTTCTTCAACCGATAACGTTACGATCTTTTAAAGGGATTAACATATTCGTCGTTACTGTTGATACCAAAGGAAACGTTTGAGTCACACTAAACAGCACCGTGGGTAGCTTACGGCTTAACGTTATCGACGTCCGACTCCGACCCCGCGACTCGTATCTTATACAACGCGTCTTAGAAGAAAATCCACGTGACTTAACCCTTCACCGCCCCTTGTCACGGGGTGCAGTCTCGCCTCTGCCCTCTCGCGTCAGCCGGCTCGTGGGCGGGGCGGGGCGGAGCGGGGCGGGGCGAGGCGGGGCGGGTCGACGGTCTCTAACCAGCTCACTTTACACCTGATTCAGTCGTAACTCGCTTCGTGCGGCCCAAGCCGCCTGCAGCCGCCCGGAGAAAGGGCGGGGGAGTCTACCTCCATGAGTCTAAGCCACGCCACGCGTGCAGACGCCGACCTCAACCTCGCGGCGGCCGCCCCGGTCGGGGAGGGGCGTCTCCACGACAAATAATAACATCACCTCCGTGCGCTTTTGCTCCGTACACACGTCGCGTGATTGCTTTTCCCGCGGAATGCCGGGGGAGGGGGAGGCAGCGCCCGAGGCAGAGCACACATCCCTCACTGTACTTGTACACTCTGGTGCTCCGCATGCGCGACAATGTTGTGACCCAGTTTGCTTCCGGTCTGGCCTGCACCACCCTGGGGACCCCTGAGGAGGGTCTGAGATGCGCTCCCCCAGCTTTTGTTGTGCTGCCGCCCCTCGCCCCTCCCCGCCGCAGACGCGATTGACGGCCCCAAGTTTGCAAACCGATGGAGGGGGAGCCTAGAGACGCAGGGCTCGGGGCGGCCCGGGGGCGTGCCGGCGGCGCGTGGAGCTAGCCGCGGCCCTGCGGCCATCCCGGCCCCGGCGGCCACGGCGCTACAAACAAGTCTTCGCCCGCGGGACACCGAAATGGGTGGCAAATAATGGTCGAGCGGGGAATCTTTAGGGGGACGAAATATTTACTTCATTCAGGAGGATTTAATCGGCGTTAATGAAACGATATGCGGTCCCTCAGGTTATTGATGGGTGGAGCCCACGGGCACTGGGTGCACCGGTCGCACTGCCCGTACGAAAAATATTAGTCCGGCATCAGTCCGTTTTCGGTCCGGCAAGAGTCCGGCTGGACAGTCCGTCATCAGTCCGCAAAGCGAGCGGACTAGTCCGCGAGAAAAGCCAGATCGACAAAAAAGAACGGACTGATCGCGTACTGGACCGCACGCAGAGCAGACTGAAAGCGGACTATCTGTAGCACAGCTAACCTCTACCGTGCCAAAATCGATTGGGAAAAGTGCACAGTTTAATGTTTATTATCGCTAAATAAAATAAAATATCAAGTCAGGGTAAATCGAAAGGCGATCTCACAGTGTTATGAACGAGGTGAAGCCAAATCCGCTGTCTGTTTTGACCTAGCTCAACTAGCTCAAGCCGTTTACGAGTTACCAGATAAATTTGCTTCAATTTCAATGAAATTAAAATGGCCCAACTAAAATAAAGTGTAGATGTCCCAAAGAAAATTCGAGGTCAAGATTCCTATAAGTTCCAAAGTTACAGCATGGTAAACTTGATTCGGGATTCGCTCCAGACAATTCTTTCTTTTTAACAGTGCTGTGTTCAGCTCCGGGGCAGTGCTTGCCGATGGAAAATGTTGTGTCGATGACAAGATTTTTTAATGTGGGTTGCATATTTCTTCCGGCCAATGAAGTAATAAAAAGAAAACTATATACGACATTTTACATGCATGTTGCAGCCGACGAAGCCGCGTTCTGTGATCATATGAGAATTCCATCGACCGCAATTTTGCACTTACATGCTGCGTTCTTAGACGTTGAACCGGGTGTTTCCTTGCACGGTCGTTGCAGGGTCACCCGGTACTGATTGCATGAACGCCAACGCGTGTAAATCCCGTCTTGCGTCGCACACTTCAAACGCCGAACGTAAACGTTCAGTGTTTTAGGTGCAGCCGGACGTGGCTTGGATGTGACAGTCGCGTGTGCGTTTGTGCTTTGTGGTGGTGCAACAGTAACACTGCTACCAAGTACTACTGACACAAATCTTGTCATGCCCAGACTTCGATTGTTCTTCTCTCTGTTCTTGTATGGCCGCGCCTTTTCGACGGGACTTGAACCCCGGTGATAACGTGTTTGTGAACAGCGGGGTGGACCCAAAATGACTCTCTCGCCACTTCGTCTGAAGTACGCTGGCAGGGTGGTGACCGGGGGTGGGGGGGGGCATAGCTTGGTTTAGTGCCATTCCACGATGGAGATGCCTTCGGATTATCACTTTTATCATCACTGTCTGGTCGGGCAGTGCGGCGAGCGAGGCGGACGGCCAACGCGGCCAGCCCCTTCCCCTCCCCTCCAGGAGGCGGCGGTCGGGCGGCGGACGCCACCGGCAGGCGAGGGGTAGGCGACCCGAACGCACTTGTGCGCAACGGGACTGCCGACCTTGTCCCTGTAAGGGGCCCGGCGGCCCGTGCCAGCACTAGGCCAGAGCGGGTGGTTGTCTTTCACTCTGTCTGTCTGTCTGTCTGTCTGTCTGTCTGTCTGTCTGTCTGTCTGTCTGTCTGTCTGTCTGTCTGTCTGTCTGTCTGTCTGTCTGTCTGTCCTGTCTGTCTGTCTGTCTGTCTGTCTGTCTGTCTGTCTGTCTGTCTGTCTGTCTGTCTGTCTGTCTGTCTGTCTGTGTGGGAGCTGTCTTTCACATCTGAATGTTTATTTATAGTTACTGATTTATCGGCATAAAAAATATATTTAAAATGCCGAGAACGCGCTCGCCAACAAAAGAACGACAAGAAACAACAACAAAAGCCGTCCGTAGTACACCAACATTTTATTGTTTTTCTTTTTTTGTCTTCCAAGCTCAATTCGTGTTATCGGCGACCGGACCAGCGGTGTCGGAGCGGTAGTCTTTATACTTTGGGCCGCACTTTCTTGTCGCCCGGCGTGGACACTTTTTGTTGTCGTTGCGCAACACGACGGCGTGATATCGTGACAGCGGCGTGCTCGCGGGGGGCGGGGACTCCACGCGGGTCCAACCAGTGCAAATCACATTTTGGACCGGGCACCGCCGGCTGGTGGCACGCCAAGCGGCCGCGACCGTTGACGTGCTAGTCATCGCCGACCCGATGGGCGGACAGCATGCTTTGGAGGCCCGGTCCGGCGTGCGCGTGCGAGTGCGAGAGAGGCCGTGCGGATGTTCGTCGCTCCCTCTCCCTCTCCCTCTCCCTCTCCCTCTCCCTCTCACACTCGCGGCGCGTCGATTAAGTCGCGTGACTCTTCGGCCGCGCGATCAGCCGGCAGAAGTGACGTCATCTCCGGCACGGCAGCTCCACCGGCAACTGGTGGGAAGGAAACTGGAGCGGAGGTCGCCTCGCCTCCGCGCCGGGCCATGCCGGGCCATGGGCCATGCCGGCGCGATCAGCGCGGCCGAATCAAGCAGGAAAGGAGCCGCCTTACGGTTTCTTACGGTTCTGCGGTCTTGTCCTATGGGCATTCATACA